GTTCTGGGAGATATTTTGAAATGATTTTTTGGATCTCCTGATTCTATGCCAAACAAACCACCAGTCTTTTCCTGGAACAAAAGCAAAATTTTGGAAATCGCTTTAATTATGACTAGATCTCACAGTTACTAGTATGCATGAGTATCTTTCTCCCGTTCGTGCATGGAGAGTCGCTACTTCAATCTGCGCATAGTCAATCACACACAACAGTAAAAAAGCCATTCCCTGTTATTATTATTTACCCAAGAAATTAACCACGCAATGAACTACACTGGATAAACCAATTCATCGCAGACGGAGTCCGTTTTTGCAGATGAGTATGAACTAGAAATAAATGGAATCACTCGTCTTCACATCCGGACGCGACGTGTTGCATACCGATGCTGTATTTAGGGAACAGTCTGGGAGAAATTCATATATTCTTCTTTCCTTATTTGCCTTCTTATAAACAGTAAACACTTTTTGCGGCAGCATTCCCTTCGTCGGCTTTTAATGGGTTTCCGCAGTACAGCTCAGAACGGCAATACAGATTCAAATTTTGGAGCAGCCTTGACTGATAATTAGTACTAGTTGATGGCGAGGCTTACTAGGAAAGGCGGGCTCCAAGGGAAGTATACGAAAACTCTGGACTTAAGATTACTAGAATATAAGTGATATTGCTTCCGGCATCCTTTCCAGCACAAGGCGGGATCTTGGCTATGACACTACGGCGTACACTGTGCGATTCTTACACACACTTTTGACACTGAGAAGCAATGATACGTAATACACTTTTGTCCCAATATTTCTAAAAGCTGATTTGTAATTATAGATGGAAAAAAGCGTCTCTTCTATCTTCAACATTACGCCAAAAACGGCAGCTGCTGAAGAACTTACGTTGCTAATCTGAGCCACAATTTGCCCAACTTGTGCACCTTCGTGCACTGTTGCATGATATATTTTTTTTAAAGTAGGCAATCTTTTACTGTTCCCAAGTACAACAACAGTGATCCAGGTCGCTGATGATAACCTCTTCGGTAAGCCATAATCTGTTGCTTCAACTAGAATTCGAAATTCATTTTGTTCCACAGTATCTATTTGATTTCTGATCTGAAATGAATATAAAAAATACTAGATGCCGAAATCTGAAAATTTTATTTTCCGAAGGTTTGAAAATTTTATTTCAAAGCACCAATTAAGCAACATCCATTAGCTAATTCATAAGATTCCCCGGAAGCTCCTTTTATGCAAAATTTACGGTAGACATGCATACTGCAGGTTAAGATTTCATATGGCCTCATGATGCTGCCGCCCCAGCCAATACTCCCCTTTTCTCCCTTCAGGTAAAAAATGCA